GTCGTCATGTACATAAAGTCACGGCGACCTGAATTGTTGTCACAACACCATGCGACATCAGGACGACGTCTCGACTTCAACGTCGTCATCGACGTTAACAACGTGCGTTACACGACATCAAGACTGCGTATTCACGTCATATTGCGTTGACATCGACGACGATGTTGACGTTGATGACGACGACGACAATGTCACGGGACGTCAAGATGACGGCGTCCTTGTCGATGCGACGTCATAAGGACGCTTGGTGTCAGTTGGTCGACGTCGTTGTCTACATGAAGCAAACTCGACGTCACGAAGACGTCACAACAACTTCAGGACGTCGATGTTGACTTCATCGTCGACGACGTTACACGACGTCAAGACTTCGTCGTGACTGCGCGTCGACGTTGATGCTGTCGAAGGCGACGATGTTACACGCCGTCAAGGCTTCGTTGTGACGTTGACGTTAACGATGACGTCAGGACGACGTTAACGTGACGTCAGAGCGATGTCTGACGTTGCGTGGGGCGTCAACGTCAACGTCTGAATCGATGACCACGTCCATGTCGTCCTCGACGCGGCGCCCGACGTCATGACCGCGTTGAAACGGCGGCTTGATGTCGCGTAAAGGTGTCGTCCTCAACGCGATGCAATGTCACGACCGCGTCGCAACGGCGACTTGATTTCGCGGAAAGGTGTCGTCCTCAACGCGACGCAATGTCACGACCGCTTCACAACGGCGACTTGATGTCGCGAACCGGCGTCGTACTGGACGCGACGGGATGTTACGACAGCCCTACGACAGCATCCTGGTGTCGCGTAACGTCACGTCGTCGTGTCGTGGTGCTTTGACGTTACCTCTGACTTCAAAATCATAAAAAATGCAATATAGCCCCTGAGGGACTAAATTGTCCATTAGACCTTGACCTGTGTCGTTGCTCGATCGCACGCAGCGAAGGTGGCGCTGCGATCGAAGGGGCTTGGTTTTACCTGGTCCCTTTCCACATTTTGAGGTGCAACTGAAAGCATGAGCGAAGCGAGTAGATCGTCCCACTTGTGCTTTCTAGTACACCCTACCCAAGCCTCTCTCCCGACATGAGCGAGGGTGGAGCTTAGTCGGAATCGTCGTCAACCTCCTTTTCCCCGATTTTTTCCCCGATTTTTTTAAAGGTCTTTCCTGGGTATCCCGCACTGCCTGGTAATGGATGGGGGAGAAAATTGGCTTAGAAAGACGAGAGGAATAGTATGTTTGTCCTTTTAGACAGAGGCTAAGGGGCGCAAGCTGGCACCTGTTACAAAGGCTATAGCCATTAACATCTATATATCCATCCATTCGCCTTCGCGCCTCCTTTCCCAGGCGCAGAACACGAAAAGGAGCTCACTTGCGAGGCGAATATTTTGGGCTGCAAATTAGCGTTCGACGACACGTAGATTAGAACTGCGGTGAAAAAAAAAAGTACTACATTTCTTTGGTGAACATGTTGTACCTGCATATCTGTCTACCTTAAACCAAGACGCCGGTACTTCCTCTTCCGTTTCAAGCATTTAGGCTTCGTGACACGCGGCGCTAAACACCTCGCCGACATGCTGCGGGCCGCACACATTTTGCATCTAGAGTATAGAAGAGGTTAAGTTTAACTTTAAATCTCTCCATCTGGGAACACGAGGTATCATCTTAAATTGTTCGCCATTTTCTTCTGAAGACACACGTATCAATGGACATCGTAATGTGACCACTGTAAAACAAGAGGCGCCTTTTCTTCGAGATAGAATTTACATTAAGGGAGTTAACCGTTGCAATAATTGGTACTATAACATTGACAACCACTGCGGACTTCAAGGCAAAGTGCGATATTCTAATTATAAGATCTAATTAGCGAAAAGCCACTAATCGACTTTGATAAGTTAAGCCTTGTTTCGTAAATTTCGGTCAAATATATCGAGCGCGGCAACCTCAGAATCCGCAACAGTTGCAAATTTTCAGATTTAAAAAAAGTGAAAGCCGTTTACAACTCCCTGTAACGCCGAATTAGAGCGCAGCTCTTGAGAAGAAGGATGGAAGCGTACTGAAGGGAGGGTGTACCCCTCCTCCTCCTCTTCGTACCACCGCGATCAAGCAAACAAGCGAAGGACCAGGGATGTCGAATTCAGGACATAGAAAAATACCCCACTGTATCGAAGCGCAACAACACACGATTTTTCGTATTGATGTACAGGCCTGGAAGGTGATCCCACCGCCATTTGTTAATTCAGAGAATTACACTAATTATGGGTGGGGTTGCACTTTAAGGGTGAACAAAGTATATACAAGGAACTTTGACATTTGTGTGTTTTGGAAGCTCACCATTTTGCCACCTCTAACTTTCATGTACGTTCACGTATCTACTTTTGGTCCACACTTGACGATTTAAGAACATTTAAACCACCACGGAACATCTTCGCGTCTTCACAAAGCACGTGCCATCAAACGTATTTCATGCTTTACGAATGCCTTCAATCGATCATTCCTTCCTCGGACCATCAGCAAATGGAACAACCTCCTATCATCCATTGTCACCGCTGTGGACTCGAATAAATGTTTAGCTTGCACTAAGCTTCATTTTCTGTCTTACTAGTTTTATGATTTATGTAATTATGAGCAGTCCTGTGTGTGTTGTATACTGTTTTAGTTTTCTTTTGTGCATTTTTATGTATTTGCGTTTTTTTATTGTATAAATTTTGAATATCCCCTCCCCTCCCCCCCCCGCCCCCGCCCCCCCCCTTATGTAATGCCCTTGACGGGCCCTTAAGGTGTAAATAAATGAACTAGTACAATACAATACTGGCAGTTTTTAATAAAACAAGAGCAAGCAGACTGACTTTGCCCTGTCGCATAAATCACTAGAATCAAGAACTATATAAAAATACACCTTCATATGGCAGATGTTCAGTTCCTGACAGTGTTTCATGGCAGCTGTGACAGTTGTAACAAGGGGGCTGCGGGTGACAGGGTGGTAGCCGCACGTGAACGGACTAGCTGGTGTAGAGCGAAAAGAAGGATGACGGGGCTACGAGGGGCTTGGAAGTGCTGCTGTTGCGGCGAGCTATAAACCATATTGTCACGAATGAGAAGTGATGAGGCGGCGAATAACTGAGCAAACCGAACGCTCAATGAAGCAAACCCGCGCCCAAAAGAAAAAAAAAAAAAGGAAACAGAAGATAACAGTAGAGCGTCGCGAGCGTCGAAATCGGCGTAAGAGCAGACTCGAAGGCTGGGGCGAGACTGACTCCGCTCGCCTTGCGGAATCCTTTATGTACCCTTGTGGGTTTCTGGATCGTTCGGCGTAGAACTTTCGGTGCGTAGAACATTCGGAACTCGATCAGACGAAAATGTTCTCGAACTTACGAGAAGGCCAAGTTGAAATAAGAAATAAAAGGACAGCCCGCTTAGTGGAATCGAACCTATACACCTTCCGCGCGACAGTCAAGCGCGGTAACCACTCGGGCCCGCACGCGCTTGCTCGCCAACGCGTGTGGCATTACTCCCCCCCCCCCCCTTTAAAAGCGCATCGTCTTGATGCGACGTGCCGGAAAACAAAAAAATGATGGCAAACTACGTAGACTTTTGGAACATAATCCTATCGAGCGTATTACAAGACACAATTCACGGTCCTATCGATCGTAGTACGGCTTGAGGCGCAAGACGTGAACGACTTCCTATCGTTAAGGGCGGCGCAATGAAGTCCGTTTTCCGTCGGGCATCAACTCGTGGTTCAGATTCCCGAGTCAACTAAGCACTTTGTAGGGTCCAGAGTAGCACTCCACGAGTTTCTCGCTGAGACCCCGGCGGCGAATCGGTGTGCAGACCCACACCCTGTCTCCGGGCTGGAAGTGGACGTCCAGACGACGAAGGTTGTAGCGGCCCGCGTCGACGCGTTGCTGGTCTTGAATCAGGGGTCCGGCAAGCTGGCGGACTTCTTCGGCCCGTTGAGAAAGCACCTGGGCGTCGTCGCTCTCATTGTCAGATGGCTCATGGGGCGGCATGGCGTCCAGCATGGTCATTACCACTCCGATCATGTACTAGCTGGAAAGGTGTGAATCCAGTGGTCTCTTGAACCGCCGTATTGTAGGCGAACGTGACGTAGGGCAACACCTCGTCCCACGTCGTGTGCTCTACGTCGACGTACACAGAGATCATGTTGGTGATTGTCTTGTTGAGTCGCTCCGTCAGACCGTTGGTCTGCGGGTAGTACACAGTGGTACGATGATGTCTGGTTTGACTGAGCCGGAGGATTTCTTGGGTCATCTGTGCCATGAACGATGATCCGCGATCTGTAATCAGAACTTCGGGAGCGTCGTGCCGGAGGACGATGGACTCGATGAGACTTCCACAGCAGTCCATGAAGGCAGGGCTTTGGTTTCGGCGTACCGCGTGAGATAATCTTTTTATTTTTTTTTAATTTTCTTTCGGGCACAAGTTCGCCCCACCAAACGCAACTCACTCAGTTATACCCCCACCTCCACCAAAATGTTTTTCCTGACAATATTTTGTTATCGTAACATTAGTAATAAGAAAATACTTTATTTTAAATGTGTTGTCTCACAGCTAGAAGCCCGAGCTCATATAGCTTTGTCTTTGGCAGTTTCTCCTGCTGAGCAAGAGTTCGAGCAGGCGAGGTGTCTCCTTGTACAAAGAGCTCGCGCTTGTAGTTGAGCAGTGGTATTGTCATTTCGTATATTTATATGCGAAAATAATAAGAAGGCAATATTTAGGCGAAGCAATACTCCATCCAAAGGAAAATTAGAATAGTGCAAAATGCATGAACAGGTTATATGAGAAGAGTTCCATTTGGTGCGGAAATATATCGATGATATGAAACTAAAAAAAACAACTAAATGCGAAACGATATGAAACTGACACGCCCTACAGCGCGTGTGGGGAACGGACGTGCCCTTCCGTCTTCCCCGGGACAGGAGCGATGTTCGACAGAGCGGCTGCCCTCGCCACGGCGGCCGACCAGGCCTCCGCGGACTACCGTATGATCATGCTTATGCTATCGAGTGGAAAGGGGCTGGCGGAGACGGTGTTTCTACACGGGGACCCTCAAGGTAGGCCTTATCGCACGCAGGACTTCGCCGAAGCGCTTGAGGAAACTGTCGGCATGAAGCACGTGGTTGGACTGGGAGCTTTCCAGTTAAACCACGTGTGGGTCTGCACGCTGGACTCTACTGACAATAAGGAACGCCTCGTCGCTCTGAAGGAGATTACGGTGAAAGGAAAACGATGCATTGTCATTGACCCCTACTTAAAAGAAGCCGTAATACGAGTCAACTGGCTCCCCACGTTCGTAACCGATGAAGAGGTGTGCAAGGCCCTGGTGGAATATAAAAACGTGACGAAAATTTGCAGAGAAAAATGGAAGTCTCCAAGTGGAAAACACGAAGTCGAAACGTCGACAAGGTTTGTCACAGTCACGATGAAGGAGGGAAAAGGAAAGGAAGACCTACCACATCAGTGGAAAGTGGCTGGGTATCCTGTCCTTTTATATGTCCCAGGCCGACCGCCGATGTGTCTCCGCTGCGGCCAACTGGGGCACATGCGAAGGCAATGCCGGGCGTCCTGGTGCCGTCATTGCAGAAGTTACGGCCACTTGGAATCGGAGTGTGTGCCCACGTACGCCGCCAAGAACAAGTGCCAGGCGAGCATGCCGCTAGAAAGCGACCTCCTGGATGAGGGGGATGTACTGGAAGCGGATCGAACGACACGGACGAGGCGGGACAGGCGGATGCACCCGTCTCTAACCAAACGGAGGCGGCAACACCCAAAAGAAAGCAGTGAAGAGGGATCGGAGCCCGTAGAGGAAGAACAGGCCATGGACGTTGCACGCGCCCCAAAGGACGCAGCCCCACCGCAGCGGCTGACCAACCCGCCAGCGCTGGCAGCCGCGCCGGGGAAAACACGCCCACCAGAACAAGGGGCAAGCTCCAAGGGGACAAGCAAGGTCACACGCCAAAGTGCGCGGCAAAAGCCGAAAACGGCCGAGCAGTTTCCCCCGCTAGATGCACATCCCGGGGGAAGGGGTGAATCATCGGAGAACGCCGTCCCCCTGCACGGGGATTACGAGAGCATCCCGGGAGCCGTTTCAGCGCGCCCTTGACTGATTAGCGCCACCGTTTTTTTTGAGGTAGGAATCTTCTCTCAATGCGACCTCTCAAACCTTTCAAGTGTGCAACGCTTTTTTTTTTTGAGGGGGGGGGGGTGGTAGGGGGGAGAAAACGCAAGTACGCTGCAGATGAACTTTTTATAAAATGATGTGCCATGAACGACGATCGGTGCTATTATTTGCAAAGTGACGTTGACCAGCTTGTGTCTGGGCTCCCACCTGCTTTTCTCAAATGTATTCATTTAAATACGAGGTCTGTAACGAACAAGGTAATTTGTTTGGAAGAATTCTTTACTGAATTTCCATTTAAACTTTCTGCCATTATGTTAACTGAGACTTGGAGCACGAGTGAACATGATGTGCTCGGATTACCAAACTATACGACTTACTACTTAAACCGATCCAATGGACGAGGTGGTGGAATTGCGTTACTGCTCTGCGAGAATGCTGAATGTTAGTTACTTGATTGTTACAATTTGATTACGCCCGACTATGAGATACTCTCTTTGTTTTCAAATAAGACAGAATACTCTGTTTGTTACCGGCCACCTAATGGAGACATCTCGATATTTTTAAAATTCTACGATAAATTTCTGGCCTTCGTTGGTGAAAACAAAAAGACTTTAATTGCTGGAGGAGATTTTAACATCGACATGAGTGACAATAGCCAATCTGCCAGGAATTTTAACACTGCAATTACATCTAATGGTTTTGTTAACATGATTAATGTTTCGACTAGAGTCACAGCCGAATTTCAATCCGTCCTTGATCTGTTTATTACAAATTCATTGCACTCGTACGCTAAGGCTGGAGTTATAACCTGCAGCGTTAGTGACCATCTCCCTGTGTTCCTTTGTCTGAAAAGAACTCAACTAGCAGCTAACAAAGGCCCTAAAATTCTATACCAATCAATTACGTAGAAAGCCCTTGATTCTTTCCGCGTTGCATTGCTGCGGGAAAATTGGAACAGAAGAGATACATTCAGTGAGGCGAATGATGCTTACGATAAGTTTATTGACATTTTCAAAAAGCTATATACCAACCACTTCCCTATTAAAGATCGTAAACACAGTCCAAAAATAAGGAAGCCGTGGATTACGCCAGAGCTGCGTAAGGAAATGAAAATTACAGACAAGCTAAACAGATGCTTCCTGAATACTCGTGCACCTGATGATTTGAAGGCGTTTAAACAGTACCGAAATAAATTGACAAAGAAGCTGCGATCTGCGCGGACAGATTACCACTCCTCTGCTTTAAGCGATAAAAACGATCGCCCCATTACGTGTTATGGTCCTGACTAAACGAACTATTAAATCGTGGTTCTCCGCATGCTCCTATCTCGAAACTACGAGTGGATGGAAGGGAATTGTGGAGCCGAATTAGCTGACGCTTTTAATGATTTCTTCGCAAACCTGACTACACGTGGTAACTCGTCGGCTGCTCTCGAATATGTGAGCATTCGAAATGACAAATCAATGTTTTTACAACCGGTCACCGCGCGTGAGGTGATATCAGTAATCAAAAGTCTAAATAATAGCAGTAGCTGTTATATTGATGGTCTCCAGACACGGCCTGTAAAGCATGTAGCTGATATAATCGCGCCTATCCTCACTGATATATTTAACACCTGTTTAGAGACAGCTGTCTTCCCATCAAATATGCAAAAAGCAAAGATTACAGTACTTTACAAAAAGGGAGATAGAAATGATCTGGGAAATTATATAGGCCAATTTCCATCCTGTCAGTTTTTTCAAAGGTGTTTTTGAAAAACTTTTGCACTCGAGACTTTCGGCATTTATTGATAAGTATAACTTGTTGACGCCACACCAATTCGGCTTTTGTAAAAACAAATCAAGTGAACTAGCATTACTTGAACAAAAAGAATATATACTCACACAATTTGAAAACAAAGCCATCGTTTTTGGTGTATTTGTAGATTTTTCAAAGGCTTTTGACTTAGTAAATCATGACATTTTGCTTGAAAAGCTGAACTGCTACAGTATCCGAGGACGGGTTTTATTGCTTCTAAAATCTTATTTATCTAATCGAAAACAGGTTGTCCAGATAAACAATATGCGCTCAAAGGCGCAACCAGTACTTAGTGGTGTGCCACAGGGCAGCATATTAGGGCCACTACTCTTCAACGTTTATCTTAACGATATTGTAAATATTAGCCCCACAGCCAAATTTATAGTATATGCGGATGACATTAGCATATTTTTCTCTGGCCACGACATTCATGAACTTAAAGATCGATGTAATAATACAATGAAAACACCCGAAAACTGGTCGGCAGCTGATGATATGCAAGTAAATGAAAGAAAAACAAAGGCGCTTATATTCAGACCCAAAAACAAGCCCGATCCTACACATCCAGAAATCTTCCTTAATTAACGTCGTATAGAAGAGGTAGATAATTTCAGGTGTCTCGGTATCGTATTTTCCACCGACATGCTATAGGACGCTCATGTAAACTACTTGCTAAAAAAATAGCGCAAATTACTGGCAGAATTGGACGCATTCGATAGCTCCTTCCCGCACAAGTTAAATTGCTTCTTTATAATTCACTGTTTTACTCACACTTAAACTATTGTCAACTAGTGTGGGGGACAACTACATCTTCAAACCTACAGTGTATTCATTTATTACAAAAGAAATATGTTCGCCACATCTATAACGCCCCTTATGGAACACCAAGTTCAATTTTCTTTTGTCGTTCTCGCGTTATCAGTGCACACAACCTATACAGATATCGTTTGAGTGCTCGCTATAAATTAGAAACACAGAGAAATATAAGTAATATACGCAATCTTTAACAACTGCAAATAAAAACCTCTAGTTACTGTACAAGACACAAAGAGAGCTGGGAAGTCCCTACAACTCGACTAAACTCCGGAAAAGAATGTCTCCGTTATCTTTTCTCATACCTTTTAAACAACTATCACCACGTTCATTTTGATCTGTACACTTGCAGATATAGTGAACTTCGCGCAATGTACGAAACATAAAAACACACATATGTATGTCTATGTGTATGTGTGTATATATGTGCGTCTAAGGTTATGTGTATGTACGTGTGTATAATATGTGTGTGTGTTTTTATGTATATGCATATGTATGCGCATATATATATATATGTGTTTATATATGTGTATGTATGCATGTATGTGTATGTATGTATATGTGTGTGTATGTGTATGTGTATATGTATATATTAATATATATATAAATATATATACTCAACACAATATTAGCCCTTAAAGGAGTTAGCCGAGGAGGTTGCCCAAAAAGAGATCAATGAAACGTTTCGGGCCTGGTAGGCTCTTCGTCAGTCAAGTGAGAAGACTTCGTTCTCCTTTTCTTTCAACCAAAGAAAAAACGGCCGGAAAAAAGAAGAAGTTAATTGGAAAAATGCTTACCGTTTAGCGGGTGCCTACTCAACTAAATTCTCGCTTAAAAGTTTAATATATCCCGATACCAATGCAATAAATACTATGGAAATAATTAAATATAATATTATTACTGCCATTCTTATCATAAAACCAGTTTTTGGGACATGTGGTTGGGTATAACCCAACTATACCTGGTGTCATGTGAAGCCAATGAGAGGCCCAATGTTACGCGTTTGCTCGTGTCACATTAAACGATGAAGCGAGAAGAAAAAAAAAAAAAAAAGCAACAGTGAGGTACCGATTAGAAGATCTCAATTAAATGTCCATAAAAAAAGACGGCAATGATCCTTTCGAACTGTTAAGGCCCTTCGGTTCTAAAGTATTAAATCTATAGATAAATTCAGATTCTTTATTTTTTCGATCTCTGGTGGTTCGAAAGCCCCCCTGGAGTATAATAAAATTAAAGTCAGAAAGTCCGTTATGTCCTGCGGAGTTTAAGTGACGGGAAACCGGTCCGGCAACGTGTTTACGTATATGACTTTTATGTAGATTCATGCGTTTTCTTATGCTTGTTTTAGTTTCTCCTATGTATTGAATTTGGCATTTTCTACATTGAATTAAATAAATAACATTTTCCGAATTACAGTCAAAGGTACCATTTATTTTCCAATTAAAGTTATTCGCTGTGCTACGAATAGAGTTAGCTATAATTATGTCCCCACATAAACTGCATTGGTTATGATTGCACTTGGTGCAACCAATCGGGACCAGGCTACGTCCGATGGAGTTTCGGGACTGTTTAAATAAATCTAATAAATTACGTGGTCTCTTGAACGCTATACCAGGGGGTCGAGGGATAACTGCCTTTAAAGCTGTGTCCATGTGTAAAATATTCATGTGTCGTCTAAGAATATTGTTTATGTTTGGAAGTTTTGATTGGTAAGGTAAGATTAGTCGTAATTCATGATTATTTCTTTTCGGCCGCTCTACTAAACACGCGTTCCGAGAGATCGCTCGACTTTTTGATATAGAATTATTTATTAGCGGTAAGGGGTATCCACGGTTAATGAAATCCTCTCCTAGTGCTCTAGCTTTTATATCAAAATCATTATCTTCTGAACATAAGCGTCTTAAGCGTAGCATTTGACTGTATTGGTATACCTTTTTTGTTTTGTATTGGATGACAGCTTTTATAATGTAGAAATTGACGTCTATCTGTAGGTTTTCGATATAAGGTTGTTTTCAAACCATTTTCAGTAAGTCTTACCTTAATATCTAGAAACTCTATTTCTGTATCAGAGTATTTATACGTAAATTTAATATGTGGATTAAAATTGTTGGCAAAATTAATAAATTCAAAGAGCTTATCTTCCCCATTATTCCAAATTATAAATATGTCGTCTAGGAAACGTTTATAAAAAAGGGGTTTATGAGGGAAGGAGTTAAGTAGCCGCTCCTCTAAAGACATCATATATATATTTGCATAGGAGGGAGAGAAGCGAGATCCCATTGCTGCGCCATGTATTTGTAAATAATGCTCATTCATAAATGTGAAGTTATTAAGCTCTAAAGCTAAGTGCATAAAAATATTTAAGACGCTTT